TTACCAACAAACCATCTATCATTTCTCCATACTCGGTATAGTATGGTCCCTTTTTGTAGATGGCCCCCCCCCACTGACGAATTCTTAAAAAATGCCCTGGGCCGTTATCAATAAATTGATTTTTGTTTGCAATTATGAGTTGCATTATTGTACAGACACTTACTTGGATACTCTTTCATCTCCTTGAGAATTTGTTCAAAATCATTCCCTCTTTTGGGCTTGTTTTTGGCATTAAGGTTGTGTAGGTCTTTGAGGACAACATTTTTTCCAACAGCATTCTTGATGTGGTTCTGCAAAAGCTTCTTATTAGACTTTATGCTGAGCATCTTTTCAGCATTTTCTTTCTCCTCGCCAACCAAACGCCGTTGCTTTGGCATGCTTTTAAAAATATTCTAAAAAAACAAATAATATTGGTACTGTAATAGGTTTTTGGGTCTGGTCCATAGGTAATAAAGTTTCAAACCCAAAAAAGCCTCGGTCCACATCCTATGCCGACTACTCATTATGTTGCTACCCCTTGACCAACCTCCAACCCGGGAGGGTACAGAAGCTGGACCCCCCTCATCTGGACCCCTTTCTGGACCCCCTTCAGGATCTCTCAGAATATAAAATAAATTCAAAATAGTGATTAAAATAAATATTTCATATAAATTATAAGACGATTTTCATAAATAACAGATTTTAATTTATGGAAGTAGTTGGGCCTAGTTGAGAAGTAGTCTTTAGTTTTAGGCAGTTCACTACTAACCTCTGTCCTCTCGCGATTGTGTTCCAAGCACTGTGATTTGATGACTAATTTCTTTCCATCTGCTGAAGTTCTCAACTTGATATGACAAGGACAGTCTTTGAGATACGTACTATAAAAACCAAGGATAGCAAATCTTCTTATATTATTTCTTCTTATATCTTCTTATATTACTATATATGTATATAAGAATTTTTTTGGACCAAATTTCTTCTTATATCTTCTCATATTATTTTATTTTTTACAGCTTTGTTACCCTGTTGTCAACAATATTGAACAATATTGTTACACCCGATCCGGGCTCAACAATAGGGAGTTTACGATCTGCGTCGCGGCCGGCTCTACGACGCGGTCTAAAGTTCAGCTCAAGAATGAGCGGTAAGCAATTTGATTACTGTAAAAAATATTTCACGCTTTTTCAAATAACCTTACAAACTGCTACGTTTGGCTGAAGCGATGCAATGTTTGCTGTAATTTCGACTTTAAGTAACACCTCTTGGGTCGCATTAAGCTTTCACGTTGACTGAAAGACGTAATGATGCTTGTTTAACGTTGTGTTGAGAATGACAACGCGTTGACTATTCTCCTGGGACCACGGATTATTGACAGTTTTTGTCTTGCACGACAAATTTCTTTGTAAGTTCTTTGTAGGTTTGCATGGCAATAAAACATACAATACTATTGTTTGTGGAAACACCAAATTTTTTTGTTTTGAAAGCGCGTCGTCGAGCCGGCCGCGTCGTAGATCGTAAACTCCCTAATATTGTTGACAAGTGTGAACAATGTGGGCCGCACAACATTGTTCAATCCTCTTAAACAGCAGGCTCATAATTTATTCGTGTATTAAACAGTTTACCAATAGCTTTCATTTGTTTTACAACTGCTTGACACTTCAATACTTAATATAAATCATCAAAATGACGTCATGTTATAATGACGTCATCTAAAATCTTCTTAATTAGCATTTCTCACAAACAAGGAATGCGCAATCAGACAAACAAGACCCAAAATTGAGTATTCACACACGATTTACCTTTGATTTGGTCTTACTCTCTTGGATTTGGACACAATCTTTCTTCCCCCTTCCTTGCAGAAGAAATCCAATTCACTAAACTGTAAATCTTCACGAAATACTTTGTTGGGCGCCCGTCGCTTGGCAGACTCGATGCTACGAGAACTACGAATATAAAGGTTTACGAAAAACCGTTTTTCGTACTTCTTCCTTGAAAAAAACCCGTATTCGCACTTTCATTTGAGGTCATTTTTGTTGTAGAAATAGAAATATTCCGTTGAACTTTCGATCGTGAAGAGTGATTTGCAAAGGCGCGTTTCAAACACGTGTCCAGAATCCCGCGAGTAACACGCGACAACTTGCGCGAGATGTCGTGCGTGTGGAGACTAAGAATGAGAGTGCCGTAAATATAGCCTGGCGAAGTCTGTTTATGGGCCCATAGATATAGCCACTTTGTATTTATTATGCTGAAAAGTGTGTGTGTGGGGGGGG